TTTGCCCAATTAGCCTCTAACACTCTAAGGTTATGTTTAATAACATGCCTTTTATTCTTATTATCTAACTATTAAATGGGTTCCTCTAACCTACATGTTTTTTCACACAATTAAACTTCATTCCTCTTGCCGGTTAAAATAAACCTCAAGGATATATTTCTCTCTTTTTTATATATAAATCAACATTTTATCTTCTATAATTATTCTCTTTATAATATTAGCATATCAAAAAGTCAATCAGGTCTCCCGACAATCATATGAAGTGACTTTGTTAGCTCCATTTAGAGCAGTTAGTCAAATCAAATGTCTCGATCGTCAGTTTTATTGATACCACTAGCTCTACTTGGGACGATTAATTAATCAAATGTCTCAGTCATCAGTCTTATTAATATCATTAGCTTCTTCTATACAACTAGTTAATCAAATATCATAGTCATTATTCTCACTAATACCGTTAGATCCACTCAAGGCAATTAATCAATCAAACATCTCAATCATCAGTCTTAATGATTTCACTAGCTCTACTTAAGAAATCTAGTCAAATTAATCTTTTCGTGAAACTTACATTTTGAAAATTACATATCTATTATATATGTATATCAACTTTACTCTATTAATTAAAATCAAAACTTCATACATAAATGCATAAACTCATTTCTACATAATAACTATCAAAATTCACTCCAAATAACTCATCAATAACCTGATAGTCAATCACATTGATATTATTAAATCCACTCAAAGCAACTAGTCGATCAACCTATTCTTAATATTAACATTCATATAAATACATTTACATTTAAAGAATCTGTAATTCTAAAAGCTTAAGAAATTATACAAGCAAACAAATATCCAGTGCACCTACTTTGAGCCTGTGTACATGTTACGTGTCACTGCTCTATGATATTTTCATGTTCCTATAACCTTCCACGTACCATCGAGGATACAATTATCATCAATAATACATCTAATACTACTATTTCAATTCACTTCTTATTCAACTATTATTTTCAAACCATTAGCAAGGAAAATCCTTAAAATCCAATACATATATATGTACTTTTCATGTTTATATTTATTCTTATCAACTTAAATGTTAGAACCCTCAATCAATAACAATTCCAAGCAAATATTAAAAACTTATTAGTCCTGGCTCATTTAATCCACCTAACTCCAAACATTGTTTGATGTATTTATTGTAACTAAAGTTCTAAAACTTGGTTTTGAACGTGACTTGTTTTTTTATAAAAAATTAAGACATAGAGCTAAAACTTTCATGAAGAAAGAAACACTCAATGTTTATAGCAGCATAAGAAATTTATCCAATAATATATTGTTCTGAACCTTTCCTTAGTATTTAGCTCATATGTAGAGTTATATAACTCTAAATTAATCAATAACAATCTCATTTGAAAGTGAACATCGATATGTATAACTTTTATGAGAAAACTAACTCCAAAATCCTAAGTTTTAAAGCTCAAAATCAACAATCATAGTAGTACTCAAAATCTCTCCAGAGTTATGTCAATTTAGACTTTTACTTAGTTTTTAACTTATATATCTGAAGTTATATAATTCAATTTTAATCAAGAATAATTTTATATGAAAAGATAATATCTATATTAATAATTTTCAATAAGAAACCAACTCCAAATTAAATTATTTTCAAGCTTTAAATTTAGCTAAAAGTTGGATAGTGAAAACATTCATGGTCAATCTAAATTTGACACAACCCGTGGATTTTTCTTGAAATTTATTCCATGACTTGACATAACTCAACAAACTAAGTTTAAAAGTACATTTCAATGACAATTACAAACACGATTTAAGTTAATCTATCCTCCTTCTTAAACTGCCCATTTGACCGAACTACCTCAATAAGAGAATTGAAGTTCTCTTTTATATTTTTCGTGAAATTTTCACCTAATCCATTCTTAAAACATATCTTTTTAGCATTCAAGTATTTATTTTAAAGCCATTTAATCAAGAACTTCAAATCAACTCCACCCTTATTATTAAGTTTCAGCCAAGTCTAAGATTATAGTCTTCTTGGATTTTCCCCCCCTTTTTGTTTCCATATATTAATAACATTATACATGGCCGTATAACATGATTTCAACATAATTTCAACTAACCATAACAAGAAAATTTTATCATTCCTTTTCTAAAAGTTTTAGCCCAATCATGGCATCTAACCTTCATGAAATTTCTTTAGTTTCTAACATTTTTTCAAGCATTAATAACATTATTCATAATTAGTTATCACATTTAAACCAACAAAACATCCATCTTTCAATTTTTTAAACCCTAACTCAAGTCACGTAACACACCAACTTTTTAGTTCTTTTAACTACTTATCAAAACAAGAAACACAAGCATAAGAATCAATTACCCATAGTTTCAATGGCGAGATTAAATGAATTGATAAAGTCATTTCCTCCATTTCTTCTTCCTCTTTTTCAAATGCAACCTTCCTTTCTCTTAGTTTTAAGCTTTCTCTTTCATGTCTTATATTCTAACTTTTCAATCTTTTATTTTTTCTCTTAGATTTATTTTTTCCTTTGAAGATTTGTGTTTAAATCATCCAAAACCCTTTCATTTCATGAATTATCTCTAATACTTTCACCCTCTCAAGATTGGTCAAATTAAAAGTGTTGCACGTTACTATAAAACTTATCAGTTTGGGATTTTTTGTTAAAAAATTTGAATTTCTATTCAATCCTTAAATCATATCAATTATTCTTCAAAACTCTCAAGACCTTTTTTTTCTCAAAATATATTTATTCTATTTTTTCCGCCCTTGCTTATTTATTGAGCTTATTAACATTTTCACAATAACATTACCGATTTTTAACTGATTCTTACATTATCACTTTGCCTTTTTATATTATCATTTCTTTTGTTTTATTCATTATTACCATACTAATTGGCCATAACTATTTTTTTTATTTTATTTATCAAAACTTGTTACCAATTTTGTTGATGTTTTGGATTTTGAACCCAAAATTCATAATTCTCCTTTTAATTTCATCAATTTCTCCAAATTTATTCATAAGGTCATCCACTTCATTACTCGTCTTATATTTTATTATTTCTACCATTTATTCATTTCTTTTCATCCCATTTTCATCACTCATCAAATTGGGATAACCCCCTCATAAAAAACAATTCAAAATAAAGTATGAAACCTCACTCTCAATCAATCTAATATTAAAAATGAAACCTCACTCTCAATCAATCTAATATCAAAAAATCAAATTAAAAATTAATCAAATTAAAAAAGGACACAAAAAATTACTCTATTCAACTCATTAAACTCATGAATTAAGTTATAAAATCAGGATAACCCAATAAAAAAAATTAGATCAAATTATGAAGCTCTATTTCTAATCAATCCAATGTTGAAGGATGAAATTAAAAAAAATAGATAAAAAAAATCGAGTTAACCCATCACTCGAATCATAAGACTAACATAATTTAATGGAAAGTAAATCAAAACAAATTATAAAGCTTTATTCTTAGTAAATTCAAAATTAAAAATTAAAATTAAAAAAAGTTGAATTAAAAATCCTAAAAAAAATTACTTGTAAAGAAGAAAAGAAAAGGTACTATAAGATTTAATGAACAATTCCTATGTGAGAAAGATATTATTAGTGAATTCACAAGCTCTTTTACATTTTTATTAACTAATGTTAATTTCTCAACACAACTTAAATTATTATATATGTTTAATTTACGTGAACCTTGTAATGAGGTGATAAAAATAGATGAAGAAGTGTTCGTGTTCTTCTCTCTCTCACACAAACATTGCTAATTAATTAACACAACTTTACCAACCTGAGCTAACGTCCTTTGTTTCCTTCCCCTCTATTCCCTATACACGAGTTGACAGATTCTAATTTTTCTCATCACTTGTCTATTATCACTATTATTTTCTTTATTTTTCTTTGGTCAATACCAATATAAGCTCTCCTATTACTATCACTATTGCAAGTTGAAAAGTTAAGACTCATGCCATAACTAACACGGCAACACCTCATCCATGAAAGCTCTCTTATTATTTATTCAATATATATATCGTTCAAGATATATTTTATATTTAGAAATTATATGTATAATAGTTAATTATGCATTTATTAATTGTTAAATAATCTTATATCTTTTATTTTTTATAAAAATATATATATATCAACTACTACATGAAAGCTCTCCTATTATTTGTTCAATATATATATTGTTCAAGATATATTTTATATTTAGAAATTATATATATAATAGTTAATTATGCATTTATTAATTGTTAAATAATCTTATATCATGTATTTTTTTAAATATATATAATTTTTTTTAAATATATATATATATATATATATATATATATATAATGTATGTATGTGTGCATGTATAATTATAATGTTCTTTTCGATAATTTTACAATTAAAACTCTTTCAAAAAACATATTAACCAAACATAATATGATGGTCAAACATAATATGGTGGTTTTTTTAAACTATAATTTAAATCGTAGTTTTAATCAAACATATCAAAATTACAAACAAACCTTATAAAAAATACTTTTTATTAAACTGTTTTTTTTTAATTATAATTATCATAACAACCATAATATCAAATATACTTAGAAAGGAATTTATGCAGTTTTTAATTAGATATGGTGATATGGACATATATAACCTACTTCTTAGGATTAAATCAGTAAGTATGCGTCTGTATAATTAAGTTATAAAAAATAAATGACGTGAGAATATCTTATTTATAGCTGCAAAATTTTCTCAAATGCGAGCGCGTGCCATTACTAGCCAAAAAGTTTTAGCCTAAAGGAGGAAACCTACGCCAGTATTTATAAAAACTGGCATCACTCTGAATTTTCCTGTCCCACGACAATGGAAATTAATTTCTCTTTAATTTCCTGTTTGGCAATCCCTGTGACTAGTGTTTGTATATATTAACTGGTCTTGTCATGCATTTATGTGGAAAAAACATGAAGAAACTTCCTTATCATGAATCAATAGATTAACTTCAAGACTTGAATATGCATTGGCCAATTCATGACGCATTCGTCAAGCAGTATCAAAAGCCTTCATCAACATAATTGAGTAATGGAAACAGAAGTCAAAAGGAGAGATTTGAGGCAATATGCTGTTGCTGCAAGGAAAATGGTACAAACTTTCAGGGTTAATGACATAAAAAATTAAGGGAACGAAAACAATGAATTCAATATACTTGTCTAACTTGCGAATTTGCAGATCCTCACAATTTACTCACATGTGGGGTAAACCTTACAACGCATCACTCACTTTCATAGTCTTCATCTCCGAAAGTGAAAACAGATGCATCAGCAGCAATTGCTTTGATGTCACTGGCTCCTCCAGAGTCCAGGTGACGGATCTCGATGCCAGGGGCAGGGTTTCCAGCCCCGCTGGCGGTTGGTTCATCGGAAGCATTTATCTGTGAAGGTTCATGACTTCTGAGTGACAGTTGCTCAGCTCCTTGTGTTAAGTTCCTCATTTGTTCTGTTGTGGTGTTAGATGCATGATCGGGATGAGCAAGTCCAATTCCAGAAGCGGCATGAGCTTGCCTGCTCTTTGAAACCCCAGTTTCCTCTCCCTCACTGTCTGAGAATACATCATCATTCTCAGCTATGTCACTTCTGTTGGAATGGCCTGCAACTCCACCATCTGTGGCTGCAACATGAACTGAGCTAGTAACATCAGATCCCTTGCTGGCCGAATCAACTTCAGACCTTGCAGGTAAAGTTCCATCATAGTCTATCATCACAACTTCAACCTGGAAACCTGGAGAAGGCAGTTTTCTCTGCAAAGAAGAGCCAGAAGATCATCAAAAGCAAGTCTAAGAAATAGAGTAAGCGATCTATCTCTTGTTGCATGATGTAACAACTAAATATGTAAACCAGAAAGATTGAATTATTAAATACCTTGTCAAAACCATCAAGATCAGAGCCATTTAAAATTTTTCTATTCTCTGTCATTGTAGTATTTAACCAACTGAATTATGAGGGGAAAAAAAAAAGAATTAATCCTCAAGAATTGGAGTTACGAACAACAAAGCTATAAGGAAGCAAATGGGACCCGTAAACATTAATGACAAGAAAAAATTTATCAACTTTGGCTTATCAATTGATTAGAGTGCATTGGATAGAGGTAAATTCTTTCAGCTTATTTCTTCACAAATGTTAAGTTGCAAACAGATACATGCTTAATGTGTGAATGTTCACAAACCAGTAGAAATCTCCATGGCGATCATGAAAATGGATCTTAAAGTCCCCGGCCAGCTCTGTTAGACCTAGCTCCATTGGTAGAGCAAAAACTACCATCTTTTTCTTAGGTGCACGGATCCAGAAATCTTCTGGCTGCGGAAGCATGTTTGAGAAAACTTGATGAGAAATTTAAAATTAGATTGGACAAAGTAACAAATAACACCAACTATTGAGACCATAGCCAAATAAATTCCATAAATACCTACCATTAAATCCTTGGTTTTTGGATGCTTTCTGGTTGAGAACAGAACCCCTGCAAGAAATAAGGAAAAACATCTCTGTTTATGCTATCATCCAAACACGAGTAACCAAGAGACATAAAAAAGTATCATGTAATAATAAAACCTTCCTCGCATAAAACAAGTCTTCTGTTGCAAATTTTAGTGATGATAAACAGAAGCAGTAAAATCAGTGTTAGCACTAAAAGGGGTTTTGCTTTTAAGATTAGTAAACATTTTTATACACAAAGCCAAATCACATATGTAGGCAGGTCAGAATGTGTCAGGGACATTTTGGGGCAAACACATTACAAGTACAATAAAAATAATTGACAAATGAACGACTCTATGAGTAGGACTTATTATCATGCATATTTGTGTGAACATTGAGACATCTCCAATACAGCTCAACTGGTGGAAAAATGAATTTGCTGCAGGAAAAAGCATACCACTGTTGTTAGAGATAGTAATAGAGGGCCTTATCCAATACGGACATTGGTGAAGCCGGAATCCCCTAAGCATGCACCTGTGTCAAAGACAACTTGAGTAACCAAGTAAAGCTAACTTTTAGAAGTGTGTTAAAGAAGAGGGCCCACAGTTACACCTTCGTTCGGGCTGATTTTCTCCATTGAAATATGTTAAGATCCGCTCAAAGTATTTGACATACCTCTGGTTACAGCAGAAAATAATTACTTTCATGGAATGCAAATAAAAGCAACCCCATCAAAGTCACAAAAAAAACTCCTTAATAAGCATTACAAAAATGAAATTGACTAACAATCTGACTTGGAAGAACTAGAGCCTTCCCATCCACACATCTTTTCTGGTTGAAGTAATCGATGGCCTCCTCAGCAGTTGGGAAGAACTGCACAGAGAAGGAAAATGAAATAAGAATATGATTGAAAGAAAAGAAACCTACAGAACCAAGGAAACAACTGAGTTTAACTAAGCAGAGAGATTCTTAATGAAATACCAAACGGCACCTTAAGGAAAAGGAGAAGGCTACATATCATTAAACCAGTCCTGCCCATTCCAGCTTTACAATGAACAACCACCACATTTTGAATGTCTTCTTTCAACCAGGAGTAAGCACTTTGACAAAATGATGTTATTAGTTGAAGAGGAGGGCAACTATGGTCATCAAATGGGAAGCACGCTACCTGGAAAAGATCTGAAAGAAATACTTAGAAAAATCCCAAAAACAAATATTGAAAAAAAAATTAATGAATTGTTAAACTGGTCCATCCCACCCTCAACCCCTATTGGCTAAGTTATTCAAATTCAAACAGCCATGCAAGACGGCAGAATAGTATGTCACCTAAAAGGTTTTAACACTGTTCCATTTTGGGAGCGATAGATTTCTATTATACCTAAACATAAAAAATCAATATTAATACTTTTGGAAAGATATTGTCATTGACAGGTCGCAGTTTATCCTAGCCAAGTTATTCCTATCTCTTAAATATGTTCACAATATCATGGCATCCACAAAATATATACATTACAATTTCTTCATAACAGAAACAAACATGATGTCAATTATTTCTTATCACGTGACTTGAATAGCTAGGACAAGAGCATCAGGACAGTGGTAAAGTGTTGCTGGAAGAAATTATGCTGGCAGTGTTTTTAATGAATGGATTTTGTTTTTAATCTACAAATGAAGATTAAAAAAAGTTCTCCAGTATGTATAACAAGTAACCAAAAATCAGTATTGCGATCAATACAAAACCAGGAAAGACTTTTGAGAGCCATTGATACCAGGAACAAACAAATTAGACTGGACAGCAGAGAGTTTTAATCTTTTTCAGATCCATTGTAATGTTAGGCTTTGATGTTAATATCCAAGACAATCAGAATACATAAATACAAATCAAGAGGAAAACCACACCTTTCCTCCAAATCGTGATGCATCATACAATCTCTCTGAACAAAGATTGTATACCTTGTACTTTCCCTGAACAGAAATCATGATGATATCAGCAAAATGGGACTCCATAACATAAAGACTGGCTTAATGCAGAGCAGATTCTTTATAGGTGAATCCATGAACCATAATAGGCATACAAAAACAATGGATGTAATATATCCTGAAAATAATAACAGCAGAATAAGACTATTGGTTGACATACGACAGAGTGATTTTAAAGAGAATCCAGGTTGTTCAGGATCAGAACTGTAATAAACAGCACCTAAAGCCATTACTCTAGAGGTTTGATAGCAGGAATAAAATTTCAGTAATAAAAGGAAAGTATTTCAATACCTAGCTAAAAACGTTTTACAAAACTCTGCACAGATGCTTTTGGATAAAAAACTCAGTTCTTAGTCGATGACCAGAATGATTCAAGGTACCATTTAAGTCCTGGAATGAGTTCTGTCTAATCAATAAAGCCATATCACGTGTAAGATATTAAGTATTCCACTTGAAGTACTCCAACTTAATGATTAGAGACCTGGACTATTCAAGCAAGGTTTAAGCATGCTTGACCTCCTAAAGTATATTTTTCAGTGTTCAATCTATTACATGCAAATATTGAACCCCAGTTCCATCTGAATCATTAACAACATTCTCAATCTAGTTTTTATCCATCCTATGCATGTTCATAGAGATTGTGTTCTTTCCTCGAGATTATATTGAAATTCTTTCACATTGTTTATGATAGATCCATAATCACACCATCTTTAAGGTACATCCAGATTCAAAGTCCCTAACTTTACAGTTTAAACTAATCAATCAGAAATTTTGAACCTTTTTATATAAATAGATGACAGTTTTTTATTCTAACTCATAAATTGTTACCACATTCTCTTACTGTCACGCATCTAGTCAGAAATTAAAACAAGGTCATACCTTATGATGGATCTCAAAAAACTTTATCACTTCTTCCATGTGATTTCGATAGAATCCCTGTATCGATTTTCAGTTCATAATTGTTTAGAAGACAAATTAAACTTCACAATGAAATTGAGAATGCGCAATGGAAAATGTTTTCACCTCAAAGAATCCAAAAAGTCCAGAGCTTATATCACCAGCAGGAAAACCCATAGCAATTATGTTCTCAGTGATATAAGCCATATCCAAATCGAATCCTCCCTCCTGTATATATGTGATGATGCAATCAACTTTACTTTTGGTGAAAACGTAGATATGCATGTCAAAAGTAAAACATGAAGAATGCTTGCTGGGCTGTTTCATGCAAGAGAAGGCACAGGAATAAATAACCTGACCTGTGAGGAAAATTTTTGAAGCAATAACCAATCCAGAAAATGCATACATGAAAAAAAATGTAGGATTTTGATAGATCAATCTCCAGGTACAAGACAATAAATGTACAATAAAGAATCAAGTCCACCAACAGAGCAAGTTTGATTTACTTGTATTATGACCGTTTAAATATTTACTCATCGGTAAATGATTTGGCTTTGTAAGCTAACTAATTTGAATACATTTTCGTTGATGCCAACACTTTTAAGACAAAACAAAGTGGTGAGAAAATTTTAAATTGCCATGAAATCCATTATTCAGCTATAACTTAAACATAAATTAACGCGTCAGTAACAGCAGCTACCTGGTATCTCCGTTTATTTTGAGAAACAACATGCCGCGCCTTTACCTGCATGGCCTTCACAGCATTTCGAGACGAATCAACCAATCCTTTAGTGAATGATTCAAAAACACCGCTTTGCGTAGATGTTGCGTTGCCTTGACTGCTCTCCTCGGTATTAGGAAGCAGCAATCCAAAGCCACTGGTAAAACGAGAAAATGCAGAAATTCCAAAACCTTCAGTCTCCGAATTCGAACTCGAACTATGATTTCGGGTGGCCGCAGACATAGAATGTTGTTCAAGATTACGAGAGTCTTTGTTAGAAGATTCAACAACAGGAGGTTGAGTAGATGGGTCAGGATCCATTGTGTCGTCACCTATAAACTGCGAAAGAAGGCCGAGAATGAACGAAAGGAAGCCATTCAGTTTCAAAGCTATGATAAATCTGAAGAAGACCAAAAAGAAAAACAACCCTTCTCACTAGCATTTCGAAAGAAATGTAAATGATCAATCAATCATGGATATGGGGTGGCTTCAATTTGATAGAGGAAACACAATGAGATCTGATGACTGACTAGCATTTTAGCAAAATCAAACAAGATTCTCACATTACTCACCAGATTTTATAAAAGTATGGGCTTCTCCTCTCTTCTCTTCTTGTCTGTTCACATTAAATCACATCTCTCTCACACGCACATCATAATCGAAGACGTGACGCATTGTTTTGCCGGGTGGCTATCAAGTATCAAACAGACGCCATTGGATCCCTTGGGTTCTGGTTCGGAGGCAAACAACTCCTTCAATTTGGATCGGATCCATTTTTGGAAATCAACCAAAAGCTCATATTTATACCTTGTTTTTTTAAAAAAAAAACTCATGTTTGGTATTCAAACACCTATAATTAACCTTCAATAATTACTATTTAATTTTATTATCCATAACTATAATCTATTCAATCTTTCTGCTAAACAAATTTATATATTTACTTTTATACTATATGAAACAAAGTGAGTTTATTGTAACTTGATTTTCACCCCTGTTTCAATTACTTATTTTATTATTTTGTTTAAAAAAATAAAAAATATATAAAAATTTCCATGGAAAATGCACTCTTAATGCAAGTAGTATGTTTTTTATTTTAACCTGTTTGTTATCATTTTAATGAGTTTTCATTGTAACTTGATATTAACCCTTGTTTTAATTACTTTTTTATTGTTTTGGTTCTAAGATATGAAAAATGCAACAATATAAGAATTTTCAAGGAAACTAAATTCTTGACACAATTAAGCCAATTCTCATCCATTTTATGATTTTAACATTTTTATTTATTATGTTTTGTGTTAACAAGTTTTCAAATGTTAAGATATTAAAAAAAGGCATTTACAAAAAACAAATAATATTTTTCTTTCTCATGTCGATAACACAATTAAAAATTAAAATAAGGTGGTTGATCATGAGTCGTAGTTTTTATTAACCAAGTATAATCAAGAATTATATTAGTTAAGTAAAAGGATGTTAATAATGCTAACAATTTGGATCAATACAACATATATGATGATGAAGTTTAATATAGTGGCTAGAGTTTAATAGAGTGGTTAAACCATAATCATGTAGAGGATGAATGATGTATATTATTAGCAAATTACACCCACCTTGATTAAAAAGACAAAACTATATTCTTATAGCTATGGATTACTTCACTAAATATATTAAAGCTATCATTGATCAATTGATCAATCAATAAATATTTATCAAAGAACAAATCATCCATATATTTGAACTCCTACATTACACCCACCTTGATTAAAAAGACAAAATTATATTCTTATAGCTATGGATTACTTCATTAAATATATTAAAACTATCATTGATCAATTGATCAATCAAGAAATATTTATCAAAGAACAAATCATCCACATATTTGAACTCCTATAAACTATTACTACTAACTAAAAATTAATATTTACTAAGGATTATATGAATCAATGTACAAAGGAGTATAGATTCAGAATAGTCATTCTACTCCATATTATATCCAAGTTAATAAATAAACATAATTAACCAATAAAACTTTTTAAAAACTGGTTTGAAATAATCTTAAAGCTTAGCATGATGCTTTATTAGAAGTGACATGAGAATATAGGATTTCAAAAAAGACTATTTTAGAAACCTTAACATTTATCCTAACATATGACCATTATGTCATGTTATTTGTGCATTCTTTTAGAATTAAGGTAACATAAACATCTAAAAGGAGGTGAATTAGATATACAAAGTAAAACTATAAATTGAAATTATTTTATCTAATAACATGTAATTTTAACACTCAAATCAATAAACGATATAAATATAATAATTAAAGAATGAGAATTTAGAGAAATTTCACCAAGATTTATAAAGGTTTAGTAAATCACTTATTTCTTTCTTTAAACTTCAATTCAAGAGTTTTACGATCACACACTAATCTTATTAATTGGTGAAACCAAACCATCTGGTCTTTTTAATTGGTGAGACCAAACCGTTACACAATCTTTGGACAGGTATAAGATCAAAACCAATCTTTTTACGAGCATAGGATCAAATTATTATCCCTAATATTTTTACGGGCTAAAGACTAAAAAACCTTTCATCAATATTTGTTAAAGGATAAGTATTAAATCACTCATAATTTTATCTCTAGGGGACTTTTCCAAGTGTTGGAATATTACTTATACTTTCCACAATATAATCTCTTAGTAGAGTTAATTAAAATAACAGTTAAACTTTTTAGAAAGATTTTTGTCAATTCACATCTAACCTTGTTTTTGAATGATTACAAGTGAAACAAATGATATTATAGGTTGTTTTTTTAGAGGTAGTGTGCTTATATTTTTTTTTCTTAGAAGTTTCATACTTGTTTTGGGCAAGTAAAAGGCTATTTATATGCTTAGAAAAGAAACTAGTCATTAGACATAGTTTTCTTCTTGTTAGCAGAATCAGTTAGACCATTTTATAATCGATTAAATCATTTTTTAAGAACCTTAAAAGTTTTTGGAATTTTTCTAGAAACAAATTAGCTATTTTGAGAAAAGGGTCAGATCATTTCTCAAAATGGTTGGACCATTTTGGCTACTGCTTTATCGTCTAAATAGTGAGACTGTTTTAGCTACTATCTAGATTTTATTTTATTTTTTTATTTTGGTCTTTTCTTGATTTTTTTTAGTTCTTTTAGGTTTGTTTAGGTTATGTGAGTATTAGAAAATGTCCTAAACAAGTCTAGTGCTATCTAGAAAAACACTGTTATAGAATCTTGATAAGCGAAGTTGATAACTGTTATGTTTATAAGTTCTTCGTTCTTGACCTTCGCAAATCTTTTCCTTACTTGTTTAATGATTTATTGAATGATATAGACCTATATAAATCATCGCAAAGGTTTATGTACCACATAATATCTATATATATAACATCTATATATAGGCATGCATTTGTTTTACTTAACAATTAAAATAAGATTAATGCACGTGGGACACAATCATGTTACATATAGCATATTGATATATTTTTTATTAAATCATTATGAGTAATCAAATATGATACGCACATATCAAAACTATCATATCAATGTTTTATTATCTAGTGTTTATGTTATCATCAAAATATATAATTAAATCATTAATGTAGCCACAAGACTAACAACCTATTTAGCTTAAAAAATAATTACTTAAAAGAGTTGTATAGGGTAACATAAATAATTCATATTATCAATTGGTCATGCAAAAAGAGTGGGAGGATTTGAATAAGATGAGATTCCATACATTAGATCACTCAAAATCACATAAGATTAAGGTTGAAACAACATATAATAACATATTTGATTGAAAAATTTCTTAGCATGCAATTTGGTATGGAAGAATATATTTTAAATTAGTTGTACACAATTCAAAATCTAACAAGGGTCCTTTAATTAAGAGGATCCATATGTTGTTATTAAAGTTTTGAAAGGAGATGAATTACAAAATATATTAAAAGTCATAAAGCTTTTCCACAATAATCCATAGTTTTTTTTGTTTTCTATTTTTGTCATTGATTTTTTTCTCTTCAATTACACATTTTTATGGCCAAATTAATGACCAATTTTTTTAAAAGAGATTAAAAAAAAGGACCAAAGTGTAGGACACAATAAAAATGCATGGCCACTTTGAAATTCACACAAAAAGTTCTTTTATGCCTCCCAATTTCCCTATGAATTCCTTATGTTTATATTTTGGTTCCTTATTTGAGAATGGAGAGAAAAAGTCATTAAAAATAAGTGATGAGAGAGAAAGTTGTCGCATAATAAAAATATATTGATTTTGGTGTTAGGAATTTCATCATAATTAGAATAAAACTTTCCTTTGAGTTTTTCATCATTTTTAGTTAAAAATTTACCCATTTAAATAGAGAGTTTATATCGACATTCACTATTATTCACATGTAAATTTATATATTCATTTACTCAAAGTTCCATTATATTTTTCTCTAAGGATTTTCACCTAACTCACAAAAATTTTATTAATAGTATTTTATCCGGTTGAGATTTATTCAATTTATTATAATGTTTAACATATTGTTTTACCAATTTCAAACTAGGGTATACAAAAAATGATCTAATTCAATTGGTTTAACTCATTAAATCCATGATCTGAGTAATGAGATTGATATAATCTTATAAAAATTAAAAAAAAAACATAGGTCAACCTAGATTACCCTACAAAACCTGCGACCTAAGTTATGAAATTGAGATAATCAAATTTAAATAAATTTAAAATAAATTATGAAACACAACTCTCAATCAACCTATTGTTAAAGAGTAAAATTAAAAAAAAATCAATCTAAAAAAATAACAAACTAAACGATCCGAGTCAACTCAGATTAACCTGCAAAAACTTTTGATATGGACTATAAAATTAGGATAACCGAATAGAAAATAAATCAAAATAAATCATGAAGTCTAATTCTTAATCAATTTAATGTTAAAGGATAAAATTAAAAAACAATAACAATTAATAAAGAAAAAAAACCTCAAGTCCACTGTATTAACCTGCTAAACTTGTAATACAGGTCATGAGACTATGATAATAATACAGAAAATAAATTACAACAAATCATAAAACTCAATCTTTAATAAACTAAATGTTAAAAGATAAAAAAAATTTCTTTTAAAAAAAAACTAAAGACATTATTCTGTGAGGTTGTTCACGATAAAAATACCATCTTTTTTAATTTTTGTTATTAATAATAATATGACGAGAGAACTACTCTTTTATTTTAGGTACAAAAGAATATAAAAGATATTGTTTATATATATAAAAAAATAGATATCTAAGTGTGTCAACGATGGAAAAATAATGATTGTTCATATTATTAAAAGGGAAATGAGGTGAAATCAATTTACTATAGTGGAATCAAATACATTAAAAAAATCCTAATTGACTTGGAGAATTAAAGAAAAAGACAACTAGATGATCAAGAGTCATGATGGATCAAAGAAAAATAATGAATTATAAGAGTTTGAATGTGCATGAAAAACTACAAAAGTTAATTACATTCAAAACGAGAGTATTAAATATAATAACTAATTAGAAGTTATATATTAGTTTAGGATTCGGAAAAGTATCAATAAAGGAAAAAAGCATGCTTCTCTTTGATGCAATGCAAGCAGTAAAACTCTTTTCGACAATTCGAACACCTTGTCACTGTCCTTGATCCACTCCTCCAAAACCAATGGCGATTCCGCTTCCCCTTCCTCAACCTCACTGCATCCCTCTCATATGGAAAGACCTACAAAGACCAATCAACCGAAAACTCGTATACAGAAACTATCTCATTGAAAATTAAGTATAACCCATAGAGAAAAAAAGAGAGAAGCAAAACCCTTGGTCCTGCCAAGCCAAAAATAAAATAGAGAATAAGAAAAAGGCCCGACCTTTTTTGGCAACAACAGAGAGGGCACCACCATCCATCATTGGACGGGCTGCTGGGGCTAAGAATGACGGACTGTTGGAGCTGCCACCACCGGCTGGAGAAGAGAGACGGGGGAGTTTTGATGGCGCGATAAATGAGAACTTCTAATTATTCCTGGTATAAATGTAATTTTGTCAGACTTTAAGGGCATTCTTGATTTGCGGATGGGGTAGATTGTTTCCACCTTCCACACCTCGTCCAAAACCGAGTTTTTACCTTCAAAATCCCAACTTGAATATAATCGGGCAAAAATTTTTCTGTTTCGGTTGAATTTGCGACCACCAATTTGCTATCCCTCCCTTGAAAAATCAACACAATCAACAACGAAAGAAGAAAACAGCTCAAATCACAGCTTCGGAGTCCCAGAGTCGCCTGTCCACAGGAGAGAGCTTAGAAGGACCCGGACCAAACCAGATCAGACGAGACAGAAATGGAAGCCGGGCAGCCAAGCGGGATTCTTTCAGTAGACGATCTGTCCTCTCTATCATCAACGCCAGCAACCACTATCTCACGCTGGTCCTTCGTCGTCTCACAGCGGTTCCAACATTTTCTTGACAAAACGGTCCCCTACATCCTCTACCGTTGGATCGCATGCTTAATCGTGGTCTTGATCTATGTAATCCGCGTCTACCTTGTTCAAGGTTTCTACATAATCACTTACGGTCTTGGTATTTACTTGCTTAATCTCTTGATTGGATTCTTGTCTCCCCAAATTGACCCCGAGATCCATGACGGGCCCTCTCTTCCTACTCGTGGATCCGACGAGTTTCGCCCCTTCGTCCGCCGGTTACTGGAATTCAAGTTCTGGTAATGTACCGGTACCATCCAATCGTCATCGTTGATTTGATTTTGACCGTTTCTAGGGTTTCATGATTTGATAGAAATGTTGATTAATTGGATAATTTGATTGTTTGTTTGGCGAAAGCTAAGGGGTCATGCATGTGTGATTGAATAACTGATGTTGATGTTGGTATTAATTGTAGGTATTCGATTACCAAGGCGTTTTGTATTGCCTTTGTAATGACATTTTTCAGTGTGTTTGATGTGCCTGTGTTCTGGCCTATATTACTCACCTACTGGGTTGTGCTTTTCGTTCTTACTATGAGGAGACAGATTTCGCATATGATCAAGTATAGATATGTTCCGTTCTCTACCGGTAAACAGGTATCTGACATTGTATGCCATTCTTTACTTGGGTTTGCTGCTGTGATTGATTGTTTACTGGTTTTAATTCCGGTTATTTGCTCCTCTTTAACAGCGATATGATGGAAAGAAGGCACCTTCGACTGACAGTGCATTATGAAGGCTATAATTGCTGTAGAAGATGTTTTGAAGACCAATTTTGGTTCTTTGATTGATTCTTTCTTCTTACTAAGACTTACCCACATTTTTATCGGCCAGCTTGCCTGTGGAAAGTTTAGCATAAAAAATCATAGTGGCTCATGATGCTCTTTTTTCATAAGGAATTTTTTTTTATATAGAAGAGGGCGTGCCACATTTCGTTTCTGTATTGTTACTTTACTGATTTGTAGTTTACTGAGGGAAATGCCAGTCAATCAGTGCATTAGGATTATGCTCAATCTAGTTATACATTATTCATTTCTCATCAGTTGGAAATGCCAATTCTCTTTCAAGGATACCCTTTTATATGAGATGTTTTTTATTTTTCATGTTCGTTTGAATCATTCCTTTTATACCAAGGACGCAGCACCACAGCGGTTTGATCATGCACAAAATCCCTAGTTTTGGTGTGTGGTTTTCATGTTCATGTACATCTAGAAGAGCTAGCTTGAATGTAACCTGTGTACTTATTGGCCTGCGGCCATGCAGATTAGCATAAAGCATTGTAAATTAGTGATGCTGTTTATAGTGGAAATTTTGCTGCTAAGTGCACATGATCAGAGACAGTGGCAGATATCATACGAACTTTGTGATTTCATTCCTGTTATTGGTGATCAAACTTCGGTGACAAATAGCTTTATTCATTTCAAAATAGATGTTAAAGCAAGATGAGTCATGAATGTCAGGCTGCCTATTTTACATGGTACTCTGATTAATCACATAAGCGCTTAGAATTATTAGTGGTGGAGCTGTGGTTCCCTCCATGGCTACAACTTAATTACAAGCACAGGAACCGATTACCAAAGTTACTATGTCCTGATTCATTCTCATCAAGAAAACGTTGACGTTGTAATTCAGGGCGTTGCAGGAAGTTAATTTTAGAAAACAGCTGTGCAACAAGCCCCGCGGTTTGATCATTAGCAGATTTTAGTGTCCTGTTTTCTTTATGATGAGCTTAATTGATATCTACACGATGTACTCTTCTCATGTTGTCAAATATGAATATTAGCAGCATGATATCTGCGAATTCCTTCTCAAAGCACAACTTGCCATCTTATCTTTGCCATTTGAAGTTATATGACCAAGGAAATACTGGTGATGTCAGTGGAGAAATCATGGAGGTTTTCTTTGATATATTGCAGAAGGTATGCTTCTTTCACTGAAAACTCAGGCCTTTTCTTTGATATATTGCAGAAGGTATGCTTGTTCTTCGCTATTTTTAGTTTTGGGTTTTGCAAGGTTTCTTTAGTCTTCATATTTCGATTCTGAAGAAACTTGACATTCAACGAACATGTTCGACTTAGTATACCAAGTGGAAGGCTATTTTGCAATTAGGAATCGTGCTTGCATGACATTTTGACCTGAATGCTTCTATGATAACCTCCTAACAGTCATCCAGAGCTATGGCAGAAGTGTATTTGCGTAGTCTCGAATTTAAAAGACTGGTAATGTAGGTGGTGGCCTAAACTTTTTCCTCGAGCTCTTGATTTCTTTGGATTTTCTTCTGGACATGGAGCTGGAGAGTAAATTTATCAGTCAAGCTCACCTCCTTCACTGAAAACTCAGGCCGTTTTAGCATTGCAAGTTTATTGAAAAGGAGAAAACAAGTAAAACTTACAAATTCTAGCATTTGGCTTCTACTGCTTTACCGTAGCAAACTTCTGTGTATTAATAAATTCATACAGAGAAATGCCAAAAAATCAAAGCCTTGAGGCCAAACAATCCTCACCTCAAAGGATGAGGGAGATCAGGATATTGTATATAAAAAAACCCATTCCTCGTCAGAAAGACTTAATTCAGAAACTGCAACTCAAGAAAAACAAACGAAGAGTCAAGAAAGCCTCACTGCAATCAAGAACTTGGTCTGTAATAAGCATAAACTCCATAGAAGGTCTGTGTCAAAGTGAGTAGTAACAGCACGACAGCAGCAAACAATGAGACGATTGCCCAGGGATTGCTGAAATAATTATGTTTCAGACTAGCACGCCAAGTGTTCCACTTGTGATTGTAATAGTGGTTTACATCCTCAGACAATCGGGACAGGTAACTGTCGTTTATATCGAAAACTACCTCTTGACAGAGTTGGTTGAAGAGGTCTGCAACGTCAGCATCGCTGCCAAGCCAATGCTCAATTATGCCACAATAATGGAGGTAGGCTACATCCTCAGGGGAGTTAATCAAGTTGTCCATGAAGATCACAAAAGAGGTAATTTCATTGCCACAATCAATATGGCACTGTTCTAATGCAATAAGATTGAGGAAAAGGGATTTAGTACCATCATGAATCAAGAGACGAGGAACTCGGAGAATCCCCTTTTTAAATTTAACATCCCAGAATCGATCAGTTTTCCGTTTCCTGAGCTTGATACCAGCCTCTCTGAGCTCAGTGACACAATGGATCAATTGTTGGCGTCGCTTATCAGCAACGCGGTTGGCATTTGACCTTCGGTTGATCCAAATTCTGGGCTCGGGTTTAGGCCCTGTGCGCAGGAGACTTCTTCGAAAGACATCAAGGCAATGAAGGCCTCCCTGATCTGTCAAGGGGTCGAAGGTAGTGGCACATCCCAAAGAGGACTCCAATCTATTCCTATCACTTTTTGTCAGTGGCTCATCTGTTGGCATCAAAGGATCGAAGAATATGAGTGCGAGCTGGGCTACCAATCCTTTCTGATCAGAATTGTTAAACTGAAGACCCAGAAGCCGATCAAGTACAAACAGCGGAAGCTGGTTCTCTAACATTATCATATCTCTCTGAATAGAATGCATTGAACCACGCGTTGCAAAAACAGGATCATTTCTAGGATAACCAAGTTTCTTGAATCCCTCAGCGACACCTCGAAACAGTTCAAGCACAAAGCAACCGTCGAGAACCATCATCTCCACAAATTCATTGCTGCTAAGATTGATTGGCCCTTCATAGCAAGATCGAGCTTTCTCTTCAATTTCTCTTACAGCATCAAGATATAGCTTTATATCTTGATTAGTACGCTTGATGACACGATGAAGGCAACGCCACTTATGTTGATCCATTTGGCGAAGACGTTTCTTTCCATGGTGGTAAGGCCCCAAGGAAACGATCTGGGGGACATAAGCCCTGTCATCCCCCTCTCGTAGGTAGCGGGGGACTCGATAGATGGACAACTTTGACCATGAACATGCTGCATCTTCTTGGCCAGCTTGTTTAAGTTTTTCTCCGATTGATATCACCCAGTCAAAATCTGGTGATCTTGTTTCCTCGTGATCTTCATGATTTTCTTCATCACCTTCGATCACAATCTGCAGGGAATCTGATGGCGTCTGCTGTTGTTTTTTCTGCCCCTGTTGAGGTTGTTCTGGAGATTCAAGCAATGGGGCACCAGCAGGAGATGTTGGAACCGCAGATTCGACTGTTTCTCTGAGTTTGAGAGTGATAAGGTACCAACTTAAGAGCTCTTTGTTGAACACAGCAACCATTTTTTAGTGAAGAAAAGAAATTCTGAATTTGATCTTGCCTTATTGGATGCCCTTCCAAACAACAAACGGAACAATTAAAGCAACTATTTCTAAAGGGGAAAAGACAGAAAAGAGAAAAAAGAACTCTCTTGACTTGAATAAGATCTTATCCAGCATCATGATATAAAATGGAGTTAGATATTAGTTTTTATCTCCCTACTTCGATGAGCCTAACCATTAATTTGGATAGCCCACATAGACCCCTTCGCTTGAAAGAACAATAATTTTTAGAAAATTTGTAGGTGGAATGTATCATTTTCAACTTTAACATGTATTTTATCTTTCCCCAACTTTCTTTCACGTTCACACGGTCTGTAATCAAATTCTTGCATGACCAATGAGGATCTGGTAACTCATACTTTAATAGGGCTCTAATGGATCCGAGCACACCACGTTCGTAAAGCTGATACTCATCCCCCTCCGACTCGTGTTCCTAATCACTTCAAATTAAATTTCTCAAAAGATCTCATTTATTTATTGTTTTCTTTCTAGCAAAATTCAGTAGTTTTAATAAACACAAATGCAACACTTTTTGATTAATGTTCGTATTTAAATCTGAGTTTTAGCTTCCTTGAGATATTTATTCGGTATGGGTTTTGGGATTGCTATCTCCAAGGGTTGGCATCAATTTATGTTAGTATTTACTTGCAGAAATGTTGGATGAATTATATAATTTCTTGTCAGCCACTGCATAGTTGCTGTCAAAATGTTTACAGAGTGCTGGGGATGAGCTGAGCTCCGAATATGAAAAATTAACACGGTGCCAAGTGGGGAGGGGCTGGGAACATACCAAGTTGGCGGAAGAAGTGAATTAAACATGATTAATGCAATTTATTTAGTATTTTTCACGTGTGAACAAAGTGGGGACGTGAAACCCACGACGCCATCATGCCAGCTAGGACTGGGAGGTGGGGCCTGAACAAACATCCATGCCTTACCTACACCACAATATGGTTTGCTTTATGCAGACATTCTTACTTTTACTTTTATAGTAGCGTTCTACTGAAGTTTTGTGAAATTTTAATATTTTTATTTTAAATTATTTTTTAATATTTTTAGATTATTTTAATATATTAATATAAAAAATAAAATTTTAAAAATAAAAAAATTATTCTAATACATTTTTAAATAAAAAACATATCAAAAAGCTATATCCCAAACACCCCGTAGCAAGCATGTTGGTCAATGATGGATGGGGTATTTTCTTTTTATTTTATTTTATTTTATTTCTAACTTCCCTTTTGTATTTCTTAATTCAATATTTATAAATTTAGCTGGATACAAGCAACACCTAAATAAATAAATTACCTCCTAAAAGTGGATTAGCTTTTATGAACATGCCACGTACTTGTTGCTTCTTTCTTTGTTTTTGTCCAAATAGGATCCGTGTACGCAATGCCTACCTGGCTGGCAGTGAGACACCTTCTTCTTTGAAATTGGCTTTTGAATCCCTGAGGGTTGGCATCAGCTTATAAATTAACAACGGACAGCCACAAAATAAAATGAAGAGTATAAGAATTCAATAAATATAATAATAATAATAATAAAAAGAGTACAATACTTCAATAAAAAAAATAATCAAAGAGTATAGGAACCAATAATAGATAGAACTTGTGAATTAAAAGTATGAAGCTAAATTCCATATTTTTTTAATGATTCGTTTTGGTGCTTAAAAAATAATTTTGAGCTATTAAATTAAAGTTAATTGCTTTATTTCTTAGTTAATAGTAAAATTAGAAGAAGAAAAAAGGGTCATAATAGAGTAAAAAAAGTTATTGACATGCCGTGAATTTCAGGAAAAATA